CAGTGTGCTCAGGACCTCAGACTGGGCCGCAGGTTTACCTTCCAACAAGACAATGACCCTAAGCACACAGCTAAAATAATGAAGGAGTGGCTTCACAACAACTCTGTGACTGTTCTTGAATGGCCCAGCCAGAGCCCTGACTTAAACCCAATTGAGCATCTCTGGAGAGACCTAAAAATGGCTGTCCACCAACGTTTACCATCCAACCTGATAGAACTGGAGAGGATCTGCAAGGAGGAATGGCAGAGGATCCCCAAATCCAGATGTGAAAAACTTGTTGCATCTTTCCCAAAAAGACTCATGGCTGGATTAGATCAAAAGGGTGCTTCTACTAAATACTGAGCAAAGGGTCTGAATACTTAGGACCATGTGATATTTCAGTTTTTCTTTTTTAATAAATCTGCAAAAATGTCAACAATTCTGTGTTTTTCTGTCAATATGGGGTGCTGTGTGTACATTGAGGAAAAAAAATTAACTTAAATGATTTTAGCAAATGGCTGCAATATAACAAAGAGTGAAAAATTTAAGGGGGTCTGAATACTTTCCGTACCCACTGTATATATATAGAAAGGGACAGTCCCCCCCCCAAACAAACATGTCTGACCTTCTGTGGAAACGAGAAGATATTGAGATGTCTCAGTGATTCTGATTGGTTCCCAATGTTCTTCAAAATATAATTGTTCCACAGACAAAAGAAAATACAGGTTTGAAACGATACGAGGGTATATGAATGACAATTTAGATTTTTGGTGAACTTTCCTGTAAAGGCATTTAGTGCTTATCTCAGCAACTTTAAAAAGTTTTGAAAGCAAAGGTAAAGTATACCATGTTAATGACATCAATCTTTAAGCAGCAGAGATTGCCTCATTTCTTTAAAATATCTCTCAAAATAAGAGATTTGGAAAGAGCTTCATTATGTTTATTACGGACAATCAGTGAGGTTGATGACTCCCTGAGGGTTTAGAAAGAAGAAAATTTGGGAACGAGGATGTTTTAATTCTAAGAATGTGAATCGGACATTGGTCTTTAAATAAATGTCTGAATACAAAAGGGGAACATGAAACTGTAAATTGTGACAAATGTGGACAAGTAGAAGTCATAGAACACATACTTATGAAATGTGATGCATGTAAAAAAAGCATCAAGATCTTTGGGAATAATTAATTTGTCACTCCATGTTTATTACAAGATCAATCATTTTTTTCACATCTCTTATTGTTTCCCAACTTCCCAGTATCAACTCCACACGCCTGTCCACTTTAAGGTAAACTGACCTGATTCCCTCACATATTCAAGTTAAATCAAGACTGAACACTGTATGGAGGAATCAAGCTCTAAATATAAAAGAAGATAATCCTAACTAAATGAGACACAGAACCTAATAAGTAGCCATAAGTAACATAACAGATAAACTAATGCAAAGCAACAGACTGTAATTTATAGAGGAACCAAAGTCTGGAATGATTTGCCATCGGACATATTTTTTTAATAAGTAAAATGAGGTTTACAAAATCTTTAAAGGAATATTTAATGGCACGATATACAGTAAATTGTTGATTTTTATGTTTTGAATGAATTTTGAGTCGGTTTTATTGAATCAATTTTTATTGTTGTGGATTAATGTAGTTTTGTTTACAGTTATGTGTACAATTAATGTAGACCACCTGAAAGTTCATTCAGAAGAGAAGCCACTGCTGAATGTTTTAAAATTTAAGTAGTTAAAACGCAGTTGTTTGAAGAATCGTGTGCTTTGAGTGTGAGAAGACCTTTATTACAGATGCTGAACAGAAACAGCACCAGATAATTCACATTGTTCAAAATTCTTAAACTGGTGAACAAATCGTGGTAAACTGTGATGAGATTATGTAGCGTCTGTGTAAAATCATGGATGGTTTTTGGGGTTTATGGCTTAAGAGACCCCTTTTAGCCTTTGACATTTGCATATAAATTACTGTCCTGGCCACAGATTCTAAATTTATATGGGTGCTAAATGGTTAAATAGTCCCACCCCCCACCCCACTATCAAGGAGATACTAAGCATTCTACCATTATCATCTACCCATCTGACTTCAAACCGTTTCCAAAGAGAAGTAAATGACCCCCAATGGGCCTGGCTGACCAGCAAACTACAACATGCTCACATAACACACACACACATAAAGACCTTTTCTTTATTTAGACAATAATTAATCAGTTACAAATGTATCTGGTATATGCATGTTGTTTGTATGTTTCCCTATTAGATTAGCTGAGTTACCACTCGTTGTTTGTATTAGTTAAGCCCTAAACGCTGATATTCAGGTGTATGAATGTATCTCTGGTTTAATACATCCTAAATGTTTCTTTCTTGGTATCAATATTATCTGCTCTTTATTCCTCAAACAATGATGTACAGTATGCGATTGTGAAATGCATCATATGATTTGTACTATATTTTGGGTTAAAGCTGCACCAATATTCCAGACCGGCCATAAACATGCAAATGGGCCATAAAGGGAGACAAAGAAAATTCTCCCGCTCAAAAATTCCCACCTGGTATTGGCTATTCCACCCAAAGGTGGGTGTGAATAGAAAACTCTCAAAAGTCATTAGCTCGAAATGATCTTTGCTCAGAAAACCTCTTCTTTTGAGACGACACTAGACTTCTCAAGACTCCCCTCTGGAGTTTGATTTTCCGGCAGTTTTTATCTTCAAGTTACTTCGATCCGCTGTGGACTTTGCTATCTTCAGAAGAAGACAAAGAAAACTTCCAGCTCATTTCTAAGAGAACTCAAGAACCATTGTCTACCGCATCAGGACTCTTGTTCAGCAATCGAAGCCAATGCAAGTAACCGTTTACA